TTTTTTTTTTTTTTTGAGAGAGACCTCATACTGGCTACAGGAGTTTACATTCCCATCAGCAGTCGTTCCCACCAGATTCATCTTTTCCTACATGTGTCCAGCATTTGTTATCATTTATTCTTTTTGTTTTGTGTTATTTCTTTCTTTTTCTTTTTTAAAGGCAGGGTCTTACTGTGTAACAATGGTTGGCCTGGAACTCTATGTAGACCACATCTCAAAACTCACAGAAATCTTCTGTCTCCTGAATGCTGGAAGACACACCCAGAACATTGTTTTCTTGATAACATTTTGACTGGAATCTCAAGGTAGTTTTAATCTGCCTTTTTCTAGGGGCTAGGGACCCCAATTCAGTTTTTATACAAATAAAGACATGAGAGAAGATAGACTTCCGTCTCAGGAAGGGCTCAGGCTCCTGCCTAGTTTGGTTGATCTGACTTTCTGGAATTTAGAGCTAGGCTGGGAGCAGACAAAGATCAAGATAACACAGTGTGTTTTTATTGTCAGTGGGCCTGTGCATCAGAAGGCTGACTGGGGCAGCATCCATGAGAAGATATGTCCCCTGCTAATTCCTCTGCGTACGACCATGCCCTTCTACAACTCAGAGGAAGAAAGGCAGCATGGCCTGCAGCAGCTGCAGAAGCGACAGGTAAGTCCTAAAGCCAGTAACAGTGAGGGCAGGGCCTTGGTCTTTATGTTCCCAGTCCCAGTCCCATTCATTGGGTCAGTTCCCACATTTTCACCTAATACCCACTGTATTGGTTTGCTTGGGTAGCCATAACAAGATACACAGATAGGGTGGTGCTGTTGGGCCCAAAGTAGGATCCAACTTTGGGATACACACCCCACAGAGTCACTTACAGGATGAAAGTTCGATGCAAAAGCAAAATGATTTTATTCCAATGTGTTGGGGTCTTTCTCTGAGAAGAGATCGACCCCGAGTTTCCAAAGCAAGCAGTTTTTATATCTTTTTGGTCACTAGGCAGGAGTGTGACAACATATTGATTGGCTATAACATGCATGAGTCATTCATTGATTGGTGGGGAACTGAACTTACAATTTTGCCCACGAGGGGTTTGGAATGTTATTTTGGTTTTTACATTTGCAAGGCCATGGGACAGCTAGTGGTTTTTCCAGGAACGGAGTGACTTATACTTATTTTCAAAACTTGGGTGGTGATGACTCTCTGCAGCAAAGTAACCCATAACAATTTTTAGAAACCAGACAGTTGTGGAGGGTAGTAACATTCCTTGTAAACTAGTAATAATAACAATTTCCAGAGACTGGTCATCATGACCGACCATTTCATGTGTTCTTTTTCCCAGAGCTGCATGTGTGGCCAGGGTGATTTTCAAATACATGCTGGTGGGTATCTGGCTGGGTTTGAGTTGGGGTCTTTCAGTGCAAACAGTAGCATTCATTTTCTCAACACTGCTGCAGGTAGAAAGCCCGAGTCAGGGTTTGTAGGGTTTTGTCCCCCCATCCCACCCTTTACCTCCCACACCGTCCTCCCTTGTCTGCCCCCCCTCAGTCTCCCCCCCCCCCCTTGTACCCTTGGCTGCACATGTGTGTTCGAGTTTCATGTGGATCTATGGGAAGACCTTAGGGGTCCTTCTTCAGGAGCTGTTTACCTTGGTTTTTGGTTTTGGTCTTTTGAGACAGGGTCTCTCACCAGGCTGGATTTCACCAAGTAGGTTAGCCTAGCTGGCCAGTGAGCCCCAGGACTCTACCTATGGCTGCATCCTCAGTGCTGGGAGTATAAGTATGCACACCATGCCTAGCTTTTTTCACTTGGTTTTTTTGGGCACTGATCTCAGGTCCTCATGCTTTTAAGAATCACTTTACTGACTGAGCCATCTCCCGAGCCCCAGATTTGGCATCTCCTAAGATCTCTGTTCCTGGCTAATAGATGATTGTCTTCTTGCTGCGTCTTCATCTGGTCATCCGTGTACACACATCTCTGATGTTTCTTTGCTTGTCCAATTTTTCTTCTTATAAAGACACCAGGCAGTGCTGGTAAGATGGTTCTGTAATAGGGCACTTGCTGCTGAGCCTGACGACCTGAGTTCTATCCCCAGAACCCACAAGGTCAAAGAAGAGAACTGACTCTCAGAAGTTGTCCTCTGGCCTCTACACATGCATTGAATGTGAACATACACATGGATACAAGCCCTCACTCACAAAATGTAATTAAGATGCTCAATAGGGCTGGAGAGATGGCTCAGAGGTTAAGAGCAGTGACTGCTCTACCAGAGGTCCTGAGTTGGATTCCCAGCGACCACATGGTGGCTCACAACCATCTGTAAAAAAGATCTAGTGCCCTCTTCTGGTCTGCAGACATACATGCAGACAGATTTATTATGTACACATAATAAATAAATAAATCTTTAAAAAAAAAAGATGCTCAATAGGTTAGATTAGAGTCTGTGTGAGTGGATCCATTTTAACTTAACCACCTCTTTGGATAGCATTCTACCCAAATGCCATCATATCTCTAGGGATTAGGATTAAGAGCTTCAGCACATGACTCTTGGTGACCATGGTTCAATCCACAGAATCTGTCTGCCAAGTACTGTGATAAAAGCTTTTGCGTATAACACGTTGTTTCACAACCTCTGAGTCTTGACCTTTTGGCAAACTTCTTATCTCCAAAAATGTTAGTATTTGTCACAGTAGCAAAATTACAGTTATGGGGGCTGGAGAAATGGCTCAGAGGTTAAGAGCATTGCTTGTTCTTCCAAAGGTCCTGAGTTCAATTCCCAGCAACCACATGGTGGCTCACAACCATCTCTAATGGGATCTGGTGCCCTCCTCTGGCCTGCAGGCAGAACACTGTACACATAAAAATAAATAAATCTTTAAAAAAAATTACAGTTATGAAGTAGCAAAGAAAATAATTTTATGGTTGGGGGTCATAACATGAGGAACTGTATTAAAGGGTTGTAGCATTAGGAAGGTTGAAAATCACTGGTATAATAGGAAATAAAATGATATTGGGAATATATCAGGGTATAAAAGTGATTAGAAAAATAATTGATATTATGACATTAAAGGAATATAATTATTAGTATTATTATTTTGGTTCTTTGAGACAGAGTTTCTTTGTGTAGCACTGACTGTCCTAGAACTAGCTCTGTAGTTTAAGGCTGGCCTTGAACCCACAGAGATCTGTCTGTCTCTGCCTCCTGAGTGCTGGGATTAAAGGCGTGGCCACCACTACCCAACTAAGAATGTCAATTATTATTTTGAAAATTAACCCCCTTTGGATGCATGTACACACATGTATATGCAGGTACACTTGTGTATGTGGCGGCCAGAGGTTGACTTGGAGTGTCTTTCTCTGCTGCTCCTCACCTTGTTTTCTGAGACAAAGTTTCTCACTGAGCCTGGAGCTTGCCCTTTTGGCTAGGTTGGCTGGCTAGTGAGATCCTGAGATGCCTCTGCCAATCTGTGGTTATAGGTGAATATTACCATGTTTTTATGTATGTGCTGGGGATCTGAACTCAGATCCTCATGCTTGCACAACAGGCATTTTACCCACTGAGCCATCTCCCCAGCCCCCAAAAATTAGCCCCCTGAAAGCTACACATCTCTGAACAACCAGACTGATTAATTTTAAACACCTGCCTGTGGGCTGCTATGGGAGATCCGCACTCTGAGAGGACTTACATTCTTGAGCATCTACAGTGTTTTAGGCACCATATATAGCTTAATAGTCATCATTTTGAATAACACATTTCAGGCTAGTACTATAGTTTAATTTAATACAGTGGGCATTCCTCAATAGAAGGAAATAAGAAATGCTCTTCTTGAAATTAACTCAAATATAAAGACAGAAATTTTTATTTTTTGGAATTTAAATTTTTAATTTCTTCAGAGTTTCATACATGGGTACACTTTACACCATCTCTACATCTTCCTGTTCTCTTCCAACTCCTGTGTTCTCCTGCCCTCTCAAATTCATGACCTCTTCTGTAATTAATGGTGTGTGTGTGTGTGTGTGTGTGTGTGTGTGTGTGTGTATGTGTGTAACCTATAGTGTTGCCTGTATGTATATGTGTTTAAGACTGACCCCTTATGGTTGGGAAGCCTTCAGGTGGCTCATCCCTGAAGAAAAGTGATTTTCTCTCAGCAGCCATTGACTATCTACAGCTCTTATTAAATGTCCCCCATCCATGGCTGGTCTGGTTTTGTGTGAACAACCATATTGTTGAGAGTTCTTGGGTTCAGTGTCCCTGTCATGTCTAGAAGGCACTAATTTGAAGCAGTGGTCCCAATCCTCTGGTACTTACAGTCTTTCTATAGACAGACAGTTTTAGATTGTTCTGTGTCATCTATTGCTAAATTAAAGTTTTATTAGAAGTCTAGCCGGGCGTTGGGTGGTGCGCGCCTTTAATCCCAGCACTCGGGAGGCAGAGGCAGGCGGATCTCTGTGAGTTCGAGACCAGCCCGGTCTACAAGAGCCAGTTCCAGGACAGCCTCCAAAGCCACAGGGAACAAACAGTAATGTAAAAGATGCTAAGAACTACAGGAATACAGTTCATCTAGAGCCTATGTCCAACACACCTGTCTGCCAAGTTCTGAGTTGAAATGAAAGATACCTGTTCGTGGACCATGGATGTATGGCCCCAAGTTTGCATTTTTATCTACCCCAGCCGGGAATTTCATGTCACTTAGTCCAGGCGGGCTCACTAAGTGCCTCCAGCCTGGTGTCCGCTTTACTTGTGGGTGTTACCACCCGTGCCTTTCACAGTGTCTATTCCCACCTTCCACAGAAGCACTTGATTGAATTCTGCTACACTGTTGCCCAGAAGTATCTTTTTGAAGGAAGATATGAAGAGGCTGTCCCTGCGGCTCTCCACTCCCTTCGATTCCGCATGAATGTGTACGGCCTGAACTCAGTAGAGCTTGTGCCTGCTTACCTGCTCCTGGCTGAGGCCAGCCTTGGTGAGTCAGTGTGGATTGTAGGCTAGAATCCCTTACTCTGTGTCTAAAATCCACATATGAGTGAGTACATACCGTGTTTGTCTTTTTGTAATTTGGTTACCTCGCTCAGAATGTTTTCTTCGAGTTCCATCCATTTTCCTGCAAATTTCAAGATTCCATTGTTTTTTTCTGCCGAGTAGTTCTCCATTGTGTAAATGTGCCACAATTTCTCTGTCCATTCTTCAGTTGAGGGGCATCTAGGCTGCTTCCAGTTTCTGGGTATTACAAATAGTGCTGTATTGATTCTTGACAGGGCAAGACACCCTTTATAGAAGAATCTGATTTCAGATGTCCTATTTGGTATGAAGTTTGGCATAGGGAGAGGAAAGCAATGGCCACAACTGACAAAAGTCCACTCAAGCTGGACCTGGTGGCATTCACTTTTTTTTTTTTTTTCCCGAGAAGGGGTTTCTCGGTGGCTTTGGCG